ACACGTGCGAATTATCTAGTAGTGCAAGTAAAACTGAAACTGATACACTTGTGTGTAATTCAGTCCAGAAGACATTATTCGTTCTGAACTCGTTCACCACAACTACTAATTTAAAACTACTAAACCCGAAAGCGAAATTAAGAATTCTACTACGGAGAAGGCTTAGTTTATGAATATTAATTAGGTCTCGCTAACGTTCTTGAAACCTGTCCAATGGCGAAAGCCGCGTTATTGAATATTCATGATGTTGTGCTGACGCCACTAGTTGACCCTCCAATGGCAAAGGTTCGATTTATAACATGTTTTAAATGTTACCCCTGGCTTATATATATATATATATACATATATTTCTTTACTTATGTACATGCACATGGTTTTGTTGTTGTTTTCTGTATACTTTTTTCATAATTGTGAGATGGATGTGTTTGTTCTAATTTTGCACATAATTGCATAATAATAATAATAAAGGTTCGATGTATAACTAGTCATACGGTTTATTTCGATTTACTTTACCATGTCTCCTATGTGTGCGTTTTTGTTGTTGTTGTCGTTGTTGTTTTTGGGACTCCAGAGGGGTATTGCACAAAAGCAGGATAAGGGATTAAGCTGGGATTTTCCAGTTATCCTGGTTGAATTTAGCCCTGACTCAGTTGCATAAAAGCAGGCTAAATTAAGCTAAATTATGTTGCTATGGAGATTTATTCTCTGCAGCTAGCCTGCTCCAGAGCAGGCTAACAACCAGGCTAAAATTAATCCTAGTGGTTTATCTGTTAGTTCCGCTGTCAATCCTACTAGAAATTAATGTGTTTTACAGTCACTCCATGGTCTTCTGTAAATATGTTGCATCATTTTAATTATTCTGCATTAAAATACTAGATATAGTCATTCATCGAAGTATGCCTAGTTTAGTGTTATTATGAAGACTGTTCATATTGCTGTCAGAGGTTTGATGAATACATATATTATTGCAGTTGTTGAGAATCTAAGAAATGGCTGATGAAGTTGCAAAGGTGGTGAGGTCAATATGTACAAACCCAATTCCAAAAAAGTTGGGACACTGTACAGTGTGTATATATATATGCTTAAGTCCGATTAAGGTGTTTCCTCTTAACGACGGCGTGCCCTTTGTTGGATGATGTACTAGATGAGGAAGTGTTAATACTCAGACATGAAAAGATTCAGGCATTCAGGCATGAATGAGTCTTCCGGGACAGGGCAGACCCGTTGGCCTTTGCAGACGAATATCTGACTGAGAGGTACAGATTCTCAGGTGATGGCATCCGATATCTGTGTAGGCTGCTGGGTCCAAAGATACAACACAGAACAGCGCGGAGCCACGCTCTCACTGTCCCACAGGTGGTCTGTGTAGCACTGCGATTCTTAGCAAGTGGCATGTTCCTTTATTCTGTTGGAGATGCTGAAAACCTCAATAAAGGCACTATTTGCCGCACAATACTCACTTGCTCACATATTCATCACTTTCCCTGGCCACAGAAGATTCCACCACATCAAGGAGGAGTTCTACAAGATTGCAGGTAACACTAATTACAGATTACAACAAAAAAGTGTTACATTAGCACAGTCACAGTAGGAAACTCATTTTTTACAGCTTTCCCTAATGTCATTGGTGCAGTGGATTGCACCCATATCCGTATCAAACGGCCCTCAGGGGCACATGAGGGAGATTATGTTAACAGGAAATCTTTCCACAGTATCAATGTTCAGGTAAGAATGATTTATGGTTACTGTCAGCTACTTAAATTATTTCTGTGCATTAAATGACCTTAAGTCACATGTTATTGTTACAGATGATCTGTGATGCTGACTGCCTTACCACAAATTTAGAGGCAAAGTGGCCTGGCTCGGTTCATGACTCCAGAGTCTTTCGGGCCAATAGAATTTACCAGAGACTCTCACTAGGTAAGCCACCCCAATTTTT